TGTTAAAATATCTAGGTCAACCAATAAAAGCACAGAAAGAGAATACATAATCTCCAATCTTTCATATAGGTGAAAAACGGAATGAAAAAAGTAAAAACAAAAACTTCAAAACTGAAGAAGGCAAGAAATAAAAAGTGTCAGAGCAAGAGGTAAGGGAACACAGAGAAAGTGAGACAAAGAGAAAACAAGATGAGATGGTATACATGAGCCCAAACTCTCCAGGGGAAAGGAAAAGACCATCAGACTGGATGAAAAAGAAATCTAGCCATGTGCCATTTTTGAGGGACCCATTCAAATATGATGACAAAGAAACATGTAGAATAAAAATTTGGGAAAGATTTGCCAGGCAAACACTAGCCCAAAGAGCTGGTATAGATCAGGCGAAACATACTTCAAGGCATAAAACAGAACTGCAGAAAGAAGTTCACTACACATGGATGAAAAATCAAAACACACTGAACATATTATAATTCTAAAATTTATTTATTTATTTATTAAAAGCTTTCTTTTTTTCATATAACTTTTTTAAGTAATCTCTACACCCAATGTGGGGCTCAAACTTACGCCCCCAAGATCAAGAGTCACATGCTCTACCTGAGCCAGCTAGGCAGCCCTAAAATTTATTTATTTATTTATTTATTTATTTATTTATTTATTTATTTATTTTTAAGATTTTATTTATTTATTTGACAGACAGAGACACAGCAAGAGAGGGAACACAAGCAGGGGGAGTGGCAGGCAGAGGGAAAAGCAGGCTTCCTGCTGAGCAGGGAGCCTGATGCGGGGCTAGATCCCAGGATCCTGGGATCATGACCTGAGCCAAAGGCAGATGCTTAACAACTGAGCCACCCAGGCCCCCCTAAAATTTATTTTTTAATAAAATAACTTTACAATAGAAGAAAAAAACTGAGAGAAAATGACAAATCTTCAACTGTCATCATCATGATAGTTAACTGAGGGATCATTGGCCACTGAAGTAAATGGCTTTGAGCTCCTTGCACATATTAACCCCGTTAATACTCCCATCAATCCTGTTCTTCTGTGTTCCCTTTTTACAAACAGGAAAAGTAAAGCACAAAGAAGTAACTCTCAAAAAATGATACAACAAATGGCAAAAAAAATCTTCATGATGGGAAGATTTGCATAACATCATCAGCAAGCTGGATCTAATGAAAATACATACAGACGGATAATACACATTCTTTTCAATTACTTACAGAATGCCAATAAAAGCTGACCATGTACTGGGCCATAAAACAAGTCTTAACAAATACCCAAGACTCAAACTCAGACTTCCTAGAATGATGATGCAATTAGATTATAGAAATCAATAAAGAAAAAATAAGTTTAAATGTCATACAATTGGAAATTTTTATTTGTTTTAAAGATTTTATTTATTTATTTATTTGAGAGACAGAGTGAGAGAGAGAGAGAGAGCATGAGCAGGGGGAGGGGCAGAGGGAGAAGGAGAAGCTCCTGAGCAGGGAGGCCCACACAGGGCTCGATCCCAGGACCCTAGGATCATGACCTGAGCCCAAGGCAGACGCTTAACCGACTGAGCTACCCAGGCACCCACAATTGGAGATTTTTAAAGAGGCTTCCAAATAAATCACAGGAGACATTCAATAGTAAAGGAAATGAGAAGTATCTCAAAATAAACAATAGGAGTACTCCATACCAAAATTCATGGGTTGCAGATAAAATTGTACATAAGTGGGAAATGTGTTACTTTTTTTTTTTTTTAAGTAGGTTCCCAATGTGGGGCTTGAACTCACAACCCTGAGATCAAGACCTGAGCTCGAGATTAAGAGTCGGATGTTTAACCGACAGAGCCACCCAGGCGCCCTAAGAAATGTGTTACTTAAATGCTCACATTAGGAAAGATGAAAAACTGAAAGGAGGTAGGCAAGAAGAAAGAAATCTCTGAAAAGGCAAGAGAATACATCCAAAAAAGAGGAAGGCAAAGAAGAAAAAGAAACTAAATGAAATAGAAAATAAAAATAGACAAGGGAAGCTCCATGATAAATTTGGGGTTCTCAGAAAATATGAATAAAAATGATTTCAGAAACCTGACCCTGGTATAAATAAGCAATATTGGGAATCGATAAAGGGGGGAGTACAACAACACAGGCAGCAAACACTAAGGTGAGAGAATATTATGGGCAACTTTAAGGCAATAAATTTGAAAGCTTAGGATTAAGTGGGTCTATGTTTAGAAAAATACAACCTGCCGGCATTGACCAAAGAGGAAGCAGACGATGATGACAATGATGAAGGAATTGACTCCATAGTTACAGACTTTCCCACAGTGAAGTATTAAGAAACATTCAAGAAACAATTCATTAAAATTTACATATATTATTTCAGAGAATAGAAAAAAAGCGCAACATTTTGAAACTAATAAGTAAAGCAAACTAGGATGGATAAGAAAGAAACATTATAGATCAATTTCAACGGGCGTAGATTCACCCCCAAAACTCTTCAGTAAAATATTAACAAAACAGAATCAGAGTATGTATGTATGTATGTATGTATTTACTTATTTATTTTTAAAGATTTTATTTATTTATATGACAGAGAGAGACAGCGAGAACAGGAACACAAGCAGGGGGAGTGGGAGAGGGAGAAGCAGGCTTCCCGCTGAGCAGGGAGCCCGATGTGGGACTCGATCCCAGGACCCTGGGATCATGACCTGAGCCGAAGGCAGACGCTTAACGACTGAGCCACCCAGGTGCCCCAGAGTATGTATTTAAAAAAAACCCATCACCACTGGTTGGATTTGTCACAGGAATGCTAATTTGGCTCAATATAAGAAAACTGACTCGTGTAATCCATCACATTCATGGATTAAAGGAAGCAGAAAAAGTATCCGATGGTATTCAACATCAAGTCAAGTTGGGAAAAAACCTCATGACAAAAAAGGAAAAGAAGGGAATCCCTTAGCTGGATAAAGGGTTTATTAAAACCGTGCTTCATGGAGAAATGTTTGAAGTACTCTCTACATTATCAAGAATCGGGATAAGAAGGTCCACAATGCGGCTTCTGCCAGCATAATGGCGGCCATGGCCAACAGAGCAAGATAAGAAAAATAAATAAAAGGCATAAGGATTGAAACAGCAGAAATAAAATTTGCTGGTGATAGGACTATCTCTAAAAAAAACCCCCAAAAAACAAAAACAAAAAACAAAAAACAAAACAAACCCACAAAAAACCCAAGGTGGAAATAAAAACAGAGTTTAGCAAGGCATCTGCCCCTAACCTTAATATATAAAAGTCATGTGTTCTATACTCCATGTGAATTAAGTAAAAAACATAATAGGGAATGAAAAAAAAAATCAAGTCCGAAGAAAATAAATGAAAGTCTGATTTTGGTTATATAATGGTGGAGAAGAGGCAAAATTATAAATATACTCTTTGGAAATACATACACCTGTGGTAAAGCTGGGACACATAGCGAGGAGGCGATTAACACCAAATTAAGGAAAAAATACACCTGTAGAGTGGGGATCAGGAGCAGGAAGTTAGGGACAGACTTCAAAGGCATCAGTAAGATTTTCTTTCTTAAGCTAGCTTGTAGATTAGAAGTATTCTTTTGGCTCTTATTCTTTACACTGTACTTATATAATATACATTATTTTATTTTTAAGAACAGGCTCTGAAAGGTAAAATACCTTTTATTAACAATAGTTGGATGTTTTATTGTTTTTTTCCCCCCTTTAGCTGTTGGCAGTTTCAGGTATTTCTGTAATAAGCATGGACAGCTTTTATATTAAGAAAAGGTCATAAAAGCAATTTCTTTTAAAAAAATCTTTAAGTGAATAAAAATCACTCTGATTTTACATTTATGATAATAAAATATTTGATAAAGAATGCATACCTTTGCTAGGTATGTCATGCATATACTGACATACCTCATTTAGCCCCAAATGATTTTTTGATAAACTCTGGATCAATCTACTTTATCTCAGTCACATTTTAAATCCCTTGGGGAGTTGGTTATTTCATAGGAATTTATGACAAATTGATGGTAATTTATGGTAACTATCAGCTCATTAATATATCTTTCGGTAAAGTCTCGCCACTCCAGCTCAAATAGAGACATTGAGGATGTGTATTTTAATATATTAGATAATTATCGAGGAAGGCGTGCTAATATATACCTAGGCTTTAAGCGAGGAATTTGGCAGACTTGGACAAGTAACTAAATAACCCACACTATTTTCCAACTAAACCCATCTCCCATGAATCTGGCAAAAGTGAAAGAAATCTATGAAAACGCTGTTTCTCCCCACGTAAAGCATGACGCTGCAGATGCCGAAACAGCCCCGGGCAGCCATGGGATGAATACAGTCATTTAACAGCCTAATGTTGTTTACACTGCCTTGATAACTTTTAGAAAAAGAAAACTCAGCTTCTCGGGAGAAAGATGTGGAACCACAAGAAGGTACAGTTCGAGCTTTATGATATTCCAAACTGCGACACAAGTCCATTTATAGAAGAGCCCTTGATGGGACGCCCAGATGCAACCTGCTAACAACCTGAATGAATCACCTCCAAAGTCAGGCCAGCCTGCGAGTCCCTTTATCTCCCCAACGGAAGCATTAAGCCACAGAGCTCTGCCAGATGGCGCGGAACTGGTCTGCTCTGGCTTTTAAAGGGACTGACTTTTTCTTTGAAAAGCCATTAAGGGAAAACCACAGACTCCGGACGCCCCCACCCCCAACCCCCACCTCGCGAGAGCCACTCCTAGGCGAAGTCTCCCAGTCATCATCCTGGGGATGACACAAATCCACAAACTGCTCCAGTCACAACACTGGAGACTCCCCAGAAGTCAGCCTCTGGTCCCCATGATGGGGGACAAAAAATGCTAACAGCTCTTCCCAGGCTGAGTGGCCTTTTGCGGTGACATGAAAAAAAGGAGAGCTTGGGGACAGGCAGCCTGGGAGGAGAGGCGACAGGCATCAGGGCAAGTGAAAGAAGGGAGCTCACTGCCACCTCACCTTTTCAACATCTGCTTTGGTGACATTGATGTCTGCATCCATCTTCTCGAAGTACTGCTGTGCTCTGTCCGCCTCTTTGCAGTCCCGTTCAAATCGTCTTTTACTCTGAAAGCAAAGGCAAGTGGTGACAGGAGAGCAGGTGTGAATGAAGCCGCAGGATTCCTATGAGAACGTATCATTTTGTCTCAATCCCCCAAAGAGCTTTCTCCTCTGAGCTGCTTGGTTGTATGTCCTAACATCAAAGAGTTATTCTACAGTCTGCATTTATAACCACCCCACCTGTCTAACCTTTGTGCTTTCCATATGAGTTTTTAGAAAAACACTCTGCTTGAGCTCTTTGGGCTCCACACTCTGGTCTCCATAGTGGTGTCTAGAAACAAATGCGATTCAAATTGGAGAAAATCTCTAAGGGCATGGCATCCCTTTGGTGTTTTCGTTCTGCACTTGCGGATCGATGCAAGCTCACATTCAAATTAGAAAGTCTACAGGCATTTCTTGAGCTGTTTCTTGTCCACTTACTGATTCGAGTTGTTTCCAGCAGATCTCTATGTGCTGTTGTGCCTTCCGCCCATCGTGGAAGTGCTAGAAGCAGAAAACACAGAGGGATTAGCACCCCCTCTTTCTCATATTCACACGTGAGAAAAAAAATCCATCTGCTTAAATTAATATTTCATTTTTTTTAAGTCGTCTCCACGCCCAACGTGAGGTTTGAACTCATGCCCCTGAGATCAAGAGTCACATGCTCTACCAACAGAGAGCCAGCCAGGCACCCCCTCAATCACATTTAAATACTATCTAGCACGTGCATGCCAAAGAAAGGTAAGGGTTAAAAAAAATAAAGAGGAAGTGAAAATGCAAACGGTCACAGAGTTCCCTTTAAAACTTCTGATATGATAATATTGAATTCTAAGACCTACATACAGCACTTGGAAAAACAACAGGAATGTTCGTTAACACAACAATCACTTAGATCTTTATTTTTAATTGCTTTGAGGAGGAATTCACGTACCACACGATCTACCCATTTAGGTTGTACAATTCAATGCTCTTTGGTGTAGTCACAGAATTATGCAACCATGACCAACAATCAATTTGAGAACATTTTTATCCCCCCAAAAAGAGAGCCGGTATCTCAGCTGTCATCCCTCCCCACCCACTCCTCCCCAGCCTTAGGCAACCAGCACTCCACTTTCTGTCTCTATAAATTTGCCTGTTCTGGATTATTTCCTATGAATGGACTCATACAATATGAGGTCCTTCTGTGACTGGCATGATGTTTCCACTGGTACCTAATGTTCACTTAGCAGAATGTCTTCAAGGTTCATCCACGTTGTCACGTGTATCTGTACTTTATCTCTTTTTACTGCCAAGTGACACTCCATTGTCTGGATATATACACATTTTGCTTATCCATTTACAGCCGATGAACATTAGGGTTTTCCCAGTTTGGGGCTATTATGAATGATGCTGCTACAAACATTTGTGTAAAACTTTTGTGTGGATGGATGTTTCCATGACATTGGCCTTTTTAGATTTAAAAATAAATTCACTCCCCCTGCTATTTGCAAAGGCCCTGAGGCAGGTAAGTGCCTTGTGTTGACTAGTAAGGATCCTAGAGGGCTAGACCAGGGTGAGCCTCAAGAACATCAGGAGAGGGGGTCAGAGAAGAAAGGACCAGACTGTGTAGAGTCTTGTAGACTTGTGGTCTGAATAAGCTGGGGAGCCATGGATCACTCCAAGTATAGAAGCGCCATGTTACGAAGGAAGGTTCCAGGTAGGAGCGTCTCTCCAACCCTGGTGACAGGAGACTTGGACCACAGGGTAGCAGTGCAGATGGTGAGCAGGGGTCAGACTCTAGGTGTCCTTTGGTCAGGAAAACTCCAGGATCAGATGTGAACAGAGAACTGAGGTGTCACGGTGACTCTGAGGTTGCTAGCCAGAGCTTTGGGGGGGCGGTGCTGAGAGAGGCAGGTCTGAGGGGAATCAGACACAGCTTTAGACGTGTTAGGCTGACATTCTAGGAGATGCCCAAGTGGACAGCCTCACAGGTAGCTGGATGGCTGCAGGAGAGCTCAGAGAGTGGTCAACGCTAAAATGATCAGCGTCGTCAGCATCAAGCGGGTGCTCGATGCCGAGCCACAGCCTGGACGAGATCACCAAGGGAGACGAGATCCCAAGGAAAGACCAGCTAGAAACACGTGGAAATATTAAGAAAACGGTGTCCTTTTTATCCAGGGGCCTAAAATCACCAGCGTTTCCTAAAGCCTTCAACTGTGACATCACCAACTTTGTCAATGTGGCGGGAATTTCCCAGATCCGTTCTCCACCCTATTCTGTGTCCCCAGAGGCTGACCTGCAGGGACCACATGCAGGCTCCCTTGCCCTCCGGCTCTGTCAGATTTGCCACAGAGGTTCTGGCATATCAGAGGGCAGGAATTTATATCCACCTGCAGCTTCCTCTCGCTAAGATGCTCTGGGTTGGCTGGGTCCTCGACCCAAGGCCACAGCTCCCATCAGGCACTCCTATGAAGTGCCTACAATGCACCCCTGCCCCTGTCAGACTGAGAAGCCACAGCAGCTTCCCACCCTGACTAGCCCCGGGGTTCTGCACCAGCCCTGTTGCTTCTCCTGAACCCTCTCCACAGCAACGTAAATGTTCCTTTTACTAGACAACCTTCCTTCAATGCCTGGGCTTGAATGGGCCGTCTGTGTTCCAATGGACAAGGTAAAGCTCGGTGTGTGTGTGGGGGGGGTTCCACGGCCAGAAAGCAGGCAGAAAGCATGACCGACGGAACAGGTCCCCTCCGCACAGCCTCGGACCTTTCCATCCCCCCCAGTCAGAGCCTAGGGCGGGGCTGAGTCACAAAGGAGGACAGGAAGGAGGAGACCAAATCAGATTTTGGTTTTTTTAAGAACAGCACTCTTTTTATAAGGGAGTGTTTTCTTGTCTCTCTTTCGAGGCCACATTTCATGTTTTAAGCGCCTTTTTATGGCAAGTTTTACCCATCCAGCAAATTTTTTTTTGGTCTCTATGAATCCAAGAGGAGCCCCCTGGGGGCTTCATTCTTCAAGTTTCATAACAGACACAGGGATGAAGCCGAACAGAGATTGCATTTAAGGCTAGAAATAAACAAGCAAGACAGGATCAAGGCAGTGGAAGTAGAAGGAGAGCTGAGGGCAGAGCTAGGAAAATCTTGAACTTCGGAGGAAGTCCCAAATGCAAGTGGGTTTTCTGAAAGCCACATATATCACTTTAACATGGAATGGAGGGCAGGACTGAGGGAGGTCCTGGGGGGTGGGGGGGTGGTAAAGAGAGAGGCAGACAGGGAGGCAGAGAAACAGGCTTTGCCGTGCCCTCTCAGGGAGGCCCCTGGGCTCCTGGAGTCCTGCCCAGTCAGAAGCCACGTTCCTGAATTGTCAAGAGGACGATCCCCCATTTCGCAAGCAGGATCACCGTGTTCTGCGATTTGCTGAAAAGATCTCCCCATCCCCCTCCCCATTTTACATTGAGATTTAAAGACAGACATAAAGGGGAGGGGAGATGCCTTAGCACCAAACTCAGACCCGTGCTCTGGGTTTATGCTCTCGAAATGTTTTCACGAAACACAAGGCCAGTCCTGGGCTGAGAGAGGAAACGCACACAAGAGTACGCAGAAGGCGACAGGCGCTGCCAGGAAGGCTGACTGCGCTTTATCATCACAGGAATCTTCTCTGAAGACAATAGATACCCCACCCCACCCCCGCCACACACAAACACACATACACACACACACACACACAGTCATATTCTGGGAGCACGAGGGCTGACTTTTTTTTTTTTTTTAAGATTTTATTTATTTATTTGAGAGAGAGAGAATGAGAGAGAGCACATGAGAGGGGGGAGGGTCAGAGGGAGAAGCAGACTGCCTGCCAAGCAGGGAGCCCAATGCGGGACTCGATCCAGGGACTCCAGGACCATGACCTGAGCCGAAGGCAGTCGCTCAACCAACTGAGCCACGCAGGCGCCCGCGAGGGCTGACTTTGATTGAAAACCCACACAGTAAATTCTCCCGCTGCTCCTTCGTTTAATATTTAAAAATAAAGGTGAATTTATTTTTCAAGCACGGTTGTGCACCTTGACTTGACTGATGATGGGCTTTCTCCCTTGAAGGACTCCTCAGCCCCAGTTCTGTCCGACTAAAACAACCATTTGAGAACTACACTGAGATCCTAATGTCTCCTGAGACGTAGGGAAAAATCAAGGTGTCCGTGATTTTCCTTCTAATGTATCTCTCACGGTATGTGTTCCTTCAAAATTCATTTGGCTACAACACAGAAAAAAAATACGTGGTGCTGCCTGATCCCTTAGGAAATCCGGGGGTGGAACCCAAGGTCTCCTGACCGTCCTGAGCGTACCATGACCTAGACAGAGGTCACCTGGGTCCAGTTCTCTCTCCCCTCCTTCAATTGGAAAAGCTAGCTAACAGTTACAAAGGTAAACAAGCAAACCAGCTTGCCAGATGTGTGTGTTGTTTTTTAACAAACAATGGCAAAGCATTGCTTTGCCAGACAGTGAGCAAGTGTGTATCTAAAGAGTGTGCCTCCCGAGCTCTAAATAAAGAGGGATTGTTCTCTAGAGAAAGATAATAAGTCTTTCGGAGCCGCAAAGTGAAGTCATCACGGCGCTTTTCTCCTATCAGCTGAGACAGGAAATGCCATCTCTAGGGACCCAGAGCAATGCTCCTGACTTTCTCCTGTAAGCAGGATGCTTTCATTTCTCTTCGGAGGTAATAACAGACTTTTGAAAATGCTTGATGGTATCTCAGCTGACAGCGAAACTTACTTCCATTTCAAATTTTTGGTTGGACCTTAAAAATATACAGGTAGAATCTATATAAATAATAAAAGCATCCTTCCAAATTTTTTTAGGGTTCTCCCAGTGACCAGGGGCGGCTGAGAGAAGAATCACAGGGAACCTAAAATAAGCAAGCACTAACTTCAAGAAAAACTACAATGACAAAGCTTCTGAGAAGGTTTTACTGGGCTCCAAGAGATCATACTCAGGCTGTGAAAATGTTTATTATTCACACTCCACAATTAAGTACAACAGCTGCTCGCTTTTACTCTATTTATATATAATAGACCCTTAATTTTTAAAACTCCATAAAAAAGCAAAATATGGCATTGATGTGAGAACAGCCACTTCCAAAAAAAAAAAAGTGGAAAAAGAATAAACACTCAATTGAGGACAGTCAACCATCTGGAATTTTAAAAAAAACTCAGATTCCACAGATGAAAACAAAGGAGCACAAGACTTGAAAAGGGCAAAGAAAAAAGGAGCTTGCAGAAAATACGTCTGTGACAAATGTTATAATTTCCTCAAAACCCACAGCGTGGTGGGTCTGAACACTAGCAGATTCTATGCCTGACTCGGGATTAATTAATGCAACTATGAATCTCTGTGGCAGAGACATGGATGGGGACTGTGGAGGAAACTCAAATACCGTCAGCCCTGCTCAAGGGAGCACTTCGCCCCCTCCCTCCAATCCCAAACCATAAACCTAGGCATTCGTGATGGCAGCCGCATTCTGATTTATACAGTA